CTTAAACTGAACACCTTGAACGCCTGAGACCCTCATCTCAAAAGACCCAAAATCCCAAACCTCTTCTGGCACCCCGGTAGACCCCTTGCAGTAACCCTGATAGGCCCCTCTTCCCGAGCCCCTTCTCCCTTCTCCGGTCATGCCTTGCACAGCACTTCTGTACAGCTTGGACCAGGTCCCTGCTGTGGCGTCTTGGGGGATTTGGGCGCCCTCCTAAGGGCCCTTGACGTTCCCCAAAAAAACTCTAGGATTCTACAAGGGCTTAGGATTTTAGGGCTCCTTCAATTAAAGGTTCCTGCGTAAGTGATATTCCCAGAGGCTTCAAGGTCCCTTTATTGAGGATAACTATATAACTTAAATCATATTAGGGATCCTACCATTATTTTTGGTAATTTCCTTAGTTCAGGGAAGTCGGAGCCTCCGGGTTCCTGGGGTCGTGCTACCCAGGGGCCCCAAAGTAGTTCCTTTTTGGGTAGTATATTAAAGTCCCTAATCAAAAAAGAAGACACACCCAAAAAGGAACTACTTTGGGGCCGCTGGCTAAGCATCAAAACGCTCCTTCGGCCATGGCCACCCGCTGGACCTCGACTGTTGTTTTTGGGTTCAGGGTTTAGGGTTTAGGGTTCAGGGTTCAGGGTTCAGGGTTGAGGGTTGAGGGTTTAGGGTTTAGGGTTCAGGGTTGAGGGTTTAGGGTTTAGGGCTCAGGGTTCAGGGTTTAGGGTTTAGGGTTCAGGGTTGAGGGTTGAGGGTTTGGGTTTTAGGTTTTCAAGAGACAAAACCACTTGCACCGGGCCCAACACAACCGCTACTTCTCGGAGCAGTGGTATCAGTCGTCATCGTGGTAGTAGTAGTAGTAGTAGTAGTAGTAGTAGTAGTAGTAGTAGTAGTAGTAGTAGTAGTAGTAGTAGTAGTAGTAGTGGTAGTAGTAGTAGTAGCAGTAGTAGTAGTAGTAGTAGTAGTAGTAGTAGTAGTAGTACTAGTAGTACTAGTAGTAGTAATAGTAGCACCAGGCCTGTAGGGGTTGAGGGTGTATATAGGGCTCAGAGTTTGAGCAGACTCGTTTCTTTTCAGGGTTGAGGGTCCAAAAAAAGCAGCATTACCTTCAGGGCCCTTTAAACAATGGGAATTATATTATCTGCCTTATTATGGGTAATGCAGGATTTATATCATCAACAGAAGCAGCATGAAACGCATCCGAAGGGCCTGTAAAACGCCTTCTTCTGGAAGCACATCCTGCGGCATGGTCAGTACGATCTTAGACAACATGAGTGTCAAGTGGCGAACCACTGACAAGCTCCATGCCGAAGCGGAAAACTGAGCAAATGATTCTGTTTGACGCGGCTGCTAGAAATCAGAAATCTGCCTAGACCCTAAACCTGAACGATGAACTGACATCCAGGGCACCCGGGGAGAAATAAGAAAAACACTGCCAGTCACAGTCTCCGGATGACGCTAAAGCTGCAGCTTACTGACAGCGGTGTTCAGCGAAACATGCGAACACTCTAGACTCTAGATCAATATCTCGGCTACTGCAAATTAGCAGGCCAATTAAACACATATCCTCGGTGTACTTGATAATCCTGCGAGGCCCTTCAATGATTCGACGGGTGTATCGAGTTGTCTTGTAAAGACTTTACCCAGAGGAAAAGTCAGAAAGTAGCCATAAATGGCATGGGTTTGGGGCAAAAAGCTACCAGCACCGTTCCACGGTTTAGGCTTTAAGTACGCAGACTTCGCCTTACAAAAAGAAACAAAACGTCGGGCCTGAATAACATTACTACGGTTGATGATATAAATCCTGCATGACCTTAAGGACCCTATACTATGGGAATTATGGTATATTCCTTATTATGGGTAATGCAGGATTTATATCATCAACAGTATAATGTACTTGTATACGGACTGTGATGGATAGATTGCGACTTGTTCTTGTCCCTACATGATTCATGTTTCCGTGCACAAGGCAACTATAGTATTATTGTTGCTATATTGGGGGAAATCGTTGAAAGTAAATCGTAGACTCGTCCTCCTTCTGCAAAATCACTCCCGACTCAGTCACGAAGTGTAGCCGATCATAGCCTGCAAGAACCCAGAGAGCCAAATACCCCTTAATTAAGGAATACGGCTTAAATCATAGTAATATGAATCCCCTTATAACTTAAGGTATTATTGAGGGGTATTGGGCTCTCTGGGGAGGACCGGCAGGGAGAGTTTTTCAGCGATGCACGACCGGAGCTGGGATTCGAATGTGGCTCTTGCTAAGGCAGGAGTATGAAGCCTCCGCTCCTGGTCTCGTCATCCTGACACACCACAGGCCTTGAAATAGAAATAGTTCATTTATTAAATATCATACAGAAAAATAAATAAGCGATCGAAATTTTAGTATAACAACTATGTATGTATAAATATTCATATATAAATAGAAGATCATGTGGGATCTTGGGCCCAAGTCTCGAATCCTCACTCCTGAATCCTCCAGGGGCCATGCTTTCTGAATTGAAGAGCATACTTGGAGGGCCAGGGGACTTAGTGAGTCGTTATGGTTATAAATAGGGTAACCATACTTATAATTTATAATTACTTATAACCCCAATTAGGGGACTTATAACCTTACTTACTAAGTCGCCTGCCCCTCCAAGTACGCAAAAAGTTGCTTCCCCAGCCCCAGCGTTGCTTTGGCAGCAGTGGACTTGAGAACATAGCCTTTTGGCATTCTTCAAACGCCTACGATTTACGGGTTTCAGATGTAAGATTTCGGTGTTAATTGAAGGACTCGTTTTGTTTTTTAACTCCTTTTTCGTCTGCCGGTTTAGGGCTCGGGGTCCTAAGAACCGAGTCACGAAGTACGAGGCCTCCCAGGGCTCGCGAGACCAGTGGAGTAGCCTCGCGCACAGTGCAGCCAGCGGGAACCTTCTGGAGAAGGGGTTTGGATTTCTTACCTTTGGTTAGGAGGGAATGGAAGCATGGTAGTGGTAGTAGTAGTAGTAGTAGTTATAATTGTACCCCATTCCTCTATGCCCTACTAACCCAAGGTAAGGTTTAGGGTTTAGGGTGTCTGGGTTTAGTGTGTTGTCGGAGTAGGGTTGAGGCCTTACCCCAAGGTTCCATACAATTAGGTACTCGGTTTAAGGATAGTAGTCATGTAGCTTAGGATTTGGGGGAGTAATATGATTCTTGGGTACTTGGACCCTTGGGGTTACGGTTTAGGGCGTCATTAGGGTGCAGGGTTTGGTCTCGATTCGAAGCTTTGCAGTCCTTGGTGGCCTTTCGTAGGACTTTGAGATTGAGAGAACCCTTGCGTGCTAAACCTAACCCTACCCCTCCAGGGACCTCATTATGGGGTCCTTAAGGGGTCTAGGGCCCTAACTATGAGGTCCTTGGAGGGATAGGGTAAACCTAGACAGTTTCAGCCACAATTAGAACTCTTGTGATAAACCTGTCGAAGGAAGACCCGAACACCGGAAGAACAAAACGGTAAGAAATGAGACCGGCCCACAATCAACTTTTGCTCTACCTAGAGGCTGCATAGTAGTTCCTTTTTGGGTTCATATTTAGAATCCTATAAGGGAATCCCCAAAAGGAACTACTATGGAGCCTCTGGGTACTGCGAGCTCTTGCATGTCTTCAAGCCTACTTCGCTGCAAGGTTTGGGGTGAACTTTCCAACATCCCCGGAATTAAGCCTCAACGCACTTTCACTCAACAGTATGGGGTTGCGAGTTTAAGGATTCCGGCCAGGACCATTCAGGAACTTGCGAAGTGGGATTGTGTCGAGCAGGTTTAGGGGCTGAGCTGGGGCAGCATAGCTGGATGTTAACTACTGTTTATTGTTATATGCATAGTAGATATAAGGTAGCCACAAACAGCTTTCAAACCCAGACACCAACATTAGAGGCTTTACAATTGGACTTTGCCCTATTCCAATTATAAAGCCTCTAATGTTGGTGTCTGGGCTTGGTTCTACGGCTGATGATCTAAATCCTGCATGACCCATAATAAGGAATATACCATAATTCCCATAGCGTAGGGCCCTTAAGGTCATGCAGGATTTATATCATCAACCCTAAACCCTAAACCCTATAGATCCCTTACAGGAGCCCCTTAAAGGTACCCCTTATAGATCCCTGTAACGGAACCCAAGGATTTCTATCATCAACCGTAGCATTTGGGTTGCGGAGCTTCGGGGTCTCAAACGCTGGCTGCTGGCTGCAAGGCACATTGAGGGTGCCTCTTCGGCGTTTGCAGTAAACAGAACAATCCAAGGTTTAGGGTTTAGGGTTTGGGGTTTAGGGTTTACGGGTGTTTAAGGTTCATGCTGAGAGGGCACTTGATTGCTTAGACCCTGAGCCCTAAACCCAGAGCTCCTGAACCCCAAATGCTAAACCCTGTAACCTAACCTCGAAGCTCCTGAACCCTGTAGCGGCTCCTGAACCGAGCCTAAACCCTGCTTAAAGGATCTTGGGACTTGGTAATGAGGCTTATAAACAAGTTAACTCTACTTATAAGTACTTATTCCCCGGTTAGAGGACTTAAAACCTTACTAAGTCCCCTGATCCTCAAAGTAGACCCTAAACCCTAAACCCTACAGATCCCTTTAAGGAGCCCCTATAGATCCCTTTAAGGAGCCCTGTAAGAAGCCTTACTAAGTTCCCTGATCCTCCAAGTAAACCCTAAACTTGCCTACCAGGAAGGCTTTACACTGCCGGCCTTACAAGTAAGGTTATAAGTCCCCTAATTGGGGCTGTAAGTAATTATACGTATAGTTACCTTATTTATAGTCCTAGTTACCAAGTCCCATGATCCTTTAAGCAGAAGCCCCTATAGCAAGTAGACCCTAAACCCTAAACCCTATAGATCCCTCTTAGGAGCCCCTATAGACCCCCTTTGAGGAACCCTGATAGACCCCTTGAAGGAGCCCTTTAAGGAGGGCTTTGCACTGCCGGCCTCGCAGTCAATGGGCTCTCCATTCAGCTTGGCAAACTGGACGCTGCTACTCGCCATGGCCCTACTTTAAGGTGGGGTACCTTTAAAGGGATCCTTTATTGAGGGTTCCTTAAAGGGGTCTATAGGGGTTCTATAGAGAGTTTAGGGTTTAGGATAATAGAGCTTCCGAAAATTAGGGGTACCTTATTGTGGGGGTCCTTAGAATAAGGATCCTACTACTCAGGGAACTATATTAGGATCCCCTATTTTAGGAAACTCCCATATGGGTACTAGCCCTTGATTAAGGAAATACCTCAAATCTTATATAGATGATCCTACGATAACTTATACGGTAGACTCCGTAATAGAAGGATTTCGGCAGGTCTGGATGTTTACCCTGAGGGTCCAAAGGATCCAATATTTAGATACTCGGTTTGGGGATAGAAATTCAGTGGGTTAACGCTACGGAGAGTCTATGGGTATTTGATACTTGGACCTGTAAACCCTCACCCGTAAAGCCCGAACCTTCAGATTCTCCAGGATCCAGCCCTTAGGGTCTTAAAACCATGGGTATTCAGGGTGCAATGGAGGGTAGTTGGGGTCCCTAGGCTCAGCTTAGAAATCAAATTCTGGGCGAAGTGCTGCTTGCCAAGCATCTGCAGATCAGGAAACCAGCCTACTAGTGTAGTTGTTTCTGCAGCTGTAGCAACTCATGGCGGCAACGTCTGGTTTGAAGGCAACAGCTCAAAGCACTGCAGGCCGTCTGAATGAAACAAAGCCGCTGCAGTTGTGACGATATCAGAATAGCCAGAAATGGTCTTGCATCGGCTCAAGCACGGAACTCTATCCCAACCCTGCTCACACTTAAACCTACAACCCGATCACACTTAAACCTACAAGCCGTCAATCCTGAACCCAAAACACCCGCAGCCATGAACCTGTCATCCTTATTTAAACTGAAACCCAAGACCTGAACACAAGCCTAGCTCTATAAGCTGAAAGGATCCTAAAGTCAGAGCTTCCTCTTGCAGAACCCAGAACTGCAATTGAATGCCTCAACCATTTTTCGATGACCTTCAGAGGTGGCCGGAACTATGCCTATGGTCTCAATTGCAGTTCCTTTTTTGAGTTACCCTATAGAACCCTAAGCAATAAGACGTTAACCCGACAAAAGGAGCTACAATGGAGATCAAGGTAACACAGCAATCTGCCCGGGAGTCATGCACTGAGGACATTAATCACCTCCGAGCCCGCTGAACCTGTAAATAAATAGCGGCTCAAGAGCATCGCTACGACCAAACCCTCCACGGTAGGGTTCAGGATTTAGGGTTTAGGATAAAGAGTGTAGGGTTTGGGATTTAGAGTATATATAGGGTTTAGGGTTCGGGTTCAGCGCTTAGGGTTTAGGGTTCAAGGCTGCCCCGTATGGCTATGAGGTCCATAACGCAGCTGTCCAGAAAGCAAAATATCCCTGAAATATGGAATGGGGTCTTATACTGCGCTTCTGGGTGTGACTTATACTGCGCTTCTGGGTGTGACCAAAAGGGACGAAGCGAACCTCACTAATCACGTATTTGGGTTTAGGATCATAGTTTTGTAGATTACTGCTTTGGAGAGTGCAAGGTTTCTGGTACGCCTCAAGAAAGTATGTCCTACACCCTAAACCCAATCTCGAAACCCTCGCCGGAGTCCAGACCCTAAGGCTCCAAATGGCCCAGAAGCCCTATATAGAATGGTCTTTGGGCCCAAAAGCCTTAATATATATATATATATATATGAGTCCTTAGAGCCTTAGGGAAAGTCAAGGCCAACGGGTCTGGGGCATGAAGATGTAGGGATTCATGCATGATTTAGGGTTCATGGCCCCTGGAGTCCCCCCCGGTTTAGGGTTCAGGGTTTAGGGTTTAGGGTTTAGGGTTTAGGGTTCAGGGTTTAGGGTTCAGGGTTTAGGGTTTAGGGTTTAGGGTTTAGGGTTCAGGGTTTAGGGTTTAGGGTTCCTAGGGTTCCTAGGGTTTAGGGTTTAGGGTTCCTAAAGCCTAGGCTCAAGCTAAATGCCCAAACTCTACCAACCCTCGAGCATAAACCCCAAAACCAAAGATCGAAGCCTAAACCCGAAAGCCTTAAGGCCCTGAAGCGAACCCTAAACCTGAATATACCCTAAACCCTCAACGAAGCTAAACCCGAAACATCCCAAAACCCTACTAGTAGGGCCTTTAGAGCACTAAACAAGAAAGCATAAATCGCGTGCCCGAGGCCGCCACCCATTCCGGCTTATGCTGAAGGAACCTTGAAGCTGTAGCATGGAGGCATGGACGAGGATGAAGGGAAAACCAGGGCACACTGAAATTTCATCCGGAACCTAAGACCACGAAAAGCAGAAAAAGTGCCGACTGGGGAGGGCCTAGTGTAAGGGTTTTTAGGGTTGAAGGTTGAGGGCTAAGGGATTACTTTTATGGTTTGGGGCCCGGAGCTTAAGGCTTAGGGGGTTCATAGACTAGCTTCGGAATGCGAAGGTGCTTTCTGTAGGGTTCCGTGCTCGGTCATGACTGGCGGACCACAGGATCCTACAGTAGAAGCCAGAAAGTTGGAACATCATTATCCTCATGCCCTTATGGTAAAGTATAAGGGATCCTAGCACTAATCCTCCTAAAGCCATGTTCCAACTGTCTGGCTTCTACTATAAGGTTTCGGGTTGCAGGGAACCCTGATTGCAAGGTGCTATTTCCCAGCCCTTCCAAAATCCCTTACTTGAGGCATACATTAAACCATATTAGGGACCCTACGGCACTTTAATTTTCTGAGGCAAATTCCTTAACTAAGAAATTTTGGAAGGTCTCGGTTTCTCAGGGTCTGGACCCGGTGTCCCCTCTCTTGCAAGCTTCCATATGGGTGGTTGTCAAAATTAGGGTCCCTCTTTGGGTCCTTATACTACGGTTGATGATATGAATCCTGCATCACCCACAATAAGGAATATGCAATAATTCCCATAGCTTAGGGTCCTTAATATAATACAGCACCTCATATTTAGGGCACCCAACAAGGGGCCATAGTTTCGACAACTACTTGGAGGATCGGGGGACTTAGTAAGTAAGGTTATAACTGCCGGGTTATAAGCAATTATAAGTATAGTTACCTTATTTATAACCCTAGTTACTAAGTCCAATGATCCTTTAAGTAGACCCTATAGATCCCGTTAAGGAACCCTATAGATACCTTTAAGGAACCCCTATAGATCCCTTTAAGGAACCCTAGTTACTAAGTCCCTTACCCTCCAAGTACCCATGACCGTTTCACATGGCACTACTTGCTTCGTTCGGCCCTGTGATTGATATCCCACTGTGGGGCTTAGGGGTTTAGGGTTTAAGGGTTTAGGGCTTAGGGCTTAGGGTTTAGGGTTTAGGGGTTTAGGGGTTAAGGGGTTAGGGGTTTAGGGGTTTAGGGCTTAGGGGTTTAGGGTTTAGGGGTTTAGGGTTTAGGGTTTAGGGGTTTAGGGTTTAGGGGTTTAGGGTTTAGGGGTTTAGGGTTTAGGGTTAGGGTTTAGGGGTTTAGGGTTTAGGGTTTAGGCTTCAGGGCTTAGGGTTTAGGGTTTTGGAGGTAGGGGTTTAGCGTTTAGGGTTAGGCTTTAGGAAATAGGGTTCAGGCTTAGGGATTGGGGGTTAAGGTTTAGGCTTAGCGATAAACCGCAGAACGAAAAGCAACAAATCATGTGGTGGTTGTTCTAGCTGACTATAGCGGAATCCAGATCATCCAGACGACGGTGTTTGGGTGCTTCTGAAAGAAAACAAACATCACTGATTTTTCGATACATGTTAGCACAGTCTTGCGGGTGAGGGCAGAGAAGATTGATCTGAACGCGCGGAGAGACTGCTCAAACTCGCCCGATAGGATTGCTGTTCCCGGACATCTGCTGCTGGACTCGGGGTACCCGTGGTGACAATACTGTGCTCATCGTTTGCACATCAGGCACAGTTAGCTCTTCCATAGCACGCATCTGCCTGACTTCCGTTTGCGAGGATTCGGGCTCACTGCAGTTTTTCATGACCCCGCATTTCCCTCTCTTGTAGCTGAACCTTCGCTGCAAAGCTCACTACCTGCAGGCGACCAGCAACAAGTGAAAGTCAGAACTTCGAAACTCCGAAGACTCAACCCAAACCTAAACATCGGTGTAACCCCGAAAGTCCCGATCTCTACGTCTAGCCCTGAAAGCGCAGCATACAACCTCTGCAACTGAGCCGCGACGAGGGATGGATGCATACCTCGGCGGGGTTACTACAGTATATGTGCAAAGTTGATGACGACGAGAAAATGTCTTGAAAGATGCACAGTCTTCTTGGACATGGCGCAAAGCAAGATGCAACGCATTGATAATGAGTCTTGGCCGAGCTTCCAGATGTTCAAACCACCAGGCTTCAAACTGCAGAGCTGAAGCAAACCCTCTAACATAGGGGGCCTGGTACGGGGTACACTTCAGTATACATAGGAAGGAACCCGGAAGGATTAGCATTTGCAAATATTCCGACCACTCATGGTCTCGAAGCCGTAAAGCTTTTTGACTAAATTGGAGGGCTGGAGTAAGGGGACCTTGACTGACCTCGGCTTGGTGTTTGGGGTTACGCCAGAACCGATGGGACAGGAACCATACTTTCTGCTGCGTATTGCTAGTCTGAAGAGCCCAAACGACAGCGTTTAGGGTGTAGGACTATATTCAGCAAACCCTCTACGCTGCCTTCAACAGTCAATTTGCAGATCCATATTATTGACCTTCAAGGGCTACGCTACACAACTCCAGCCTAAAGAAACTATAGCCCGTGTGAACAGTCGAAGGTTGGGGTTGAGACTTGACTCTTTGGCTCTATGGGCCCGCAGATATTGGTGTCTGCAACCGTGAGAACAGTTGAAGTTTGGGGTGCCCTCAGAGTTTGGTGTGTGCAAAGTATACCTGCATCTTTACGGGGGCGTTCGACGAACCCAATCGAAACCAGAACACGCCGACAGTATCCGTAACAATATGAGTGCCGATCCCAAACCTGAGAAAACAGAAAAGGCTTCCATCAGGGTTTCTGAATTCCAGCTGTTTC